GTCCCTATATCTCTCCATCAACTGTCGAATTAGGAAAATCGCCTCCATGGTCGACCTTCCAGGCATAAACCCAAATTGGTTTTGGGTCACACTCGTCACTCGTCGTAGGCGATGCTCGATAACCCTCTCCCAGAGCTTCATCGTATGGCTCATCAACTTAATCCCATGGTAATTACCACAACTTTGAACATCACCCTTGTTCTTGAAGATCGGTACTAAAGTACTTCTCCTCCATTCATCAGGCATCTTGTTTGACAGAAAGATGAGGTTAAAAAGCTTAGTTAACCATACTAACGCTCTGGCACCCAAACATCGCCACACCTCAATAGGAATACCATCAGGGCCCATTGCTTTACCTTCCTTCATCCTCTTCATAGCCTCTCCGATCTCTGCCTCTCGGATTCTCCTCACCCTGCATCTATTGGTATCCTCAAATGAGTCAACCAACTCCAGGGTAGGACCCTCACTCTCCCCATTAAACAATTTGTCGAAGTACTCTCGCCATCTGTCCTTGATCTCCCCATCCTTCACCAGTGGCCGATCCGACTCATCGGTTTGACCATCAAATCAATACACATTCATAATTGTGTGTAAATATGTGTCTTTATACAGTTAAAATCATTGTTTTGACTATTAAATCAATACGTACCTATATAGTTATATGTGAATTCGTGCGATCATGCGATTAAAACCTCAATTGCGCACATGTAGGATGGAACTTAAGCCTAGCAAGATTCCCTCATTGGTTTGACCATCAAATCAATACACGTTCATAATTGTGTGTAAATGTTTGTCTTTATACAGTTAAAATCATTATTTTGACTGTTAAATCAATACATACCTATATAGTTATATATGAATACATGCGATCATGCTATTAAAACCTCAATTGAGCACGGGTAGGATGGAACTTAAGCCTAGCAAGATTCTTTCATCGGTTTGACCATCAAATCAATACACGCTCATAATTGTGTGTAAATATGTGACTTTATACAGTTAAAATCATTGTTTGGACTGTTAAATCAATACATACCTATATAGTTATATGTGAATACGTGCGATCATGCGATTAAAACCTCAATTGGGCACGGGTAGGACGAAACTTCGACCTAGCAACATTCCCTCATCAGTTTTTAGTTTTTATGTGATTGTTAACAATCTATACTCTATAGGCTAATAGGCCTAATATCATGGGCTCATCAATTTTACTAACTCCAATTTCATCATTTTTATGTCACAAGAATAAATTTACACATGGCACAACTTTGTGAGTAATACGTGCTGCTAATTAATTAACATTTGTGACTTGACTTGAAAGTGAGATCGATTTCTAATTGGGCTCTATTTTTGTTAAGGTGGCCGGGCTCTCTTCAAATTCACTTACACACTAATCAACAAATCGATGATTCTCCAGTGTTGGTGGAGAATAACTCAAAGAGGGGCCATCTTTTCTTGTCTCCCTATGAAACCATCTGATTAAAAAAA